AATATGGCAAAATGTAACCCACTGGTCTGCATCAATAACATGCACTAATGGATCATCAAATTCAAGCAAGTAAATAAAAGACTTTTAATGTAATTTGTACCTGGTAATCTCGGAGACCAACCAATATGATATCTGAAGTATTTATCCAAACCTACAAAAGAAGCCATCCATCATGTGTTATATTTAAAATAAACACGAAGAATCAAATTCTAGAGTAACATGATTACTTTAGAAATTGAAGGGTTAAGGTCATGAACCAATTCCATTCCAAGTGGTTATAATAGAAAACTACATGGTTGTATCATCCCTCTCGTCCACCTATTTATATATACACAGCTACTAAAAAAATCCTAGAAAACAGGATATTACTAATCAAAACAAAAAACCCCAACAAGATCAGAGTTGGGACTTTCTTGGTGCTAGTGATTGAACACAGGGACCTGCAAAGTAGGCTCTAATATTGAGGTACATCCCCAGCCACAGAGTTTGGACTTTTAAACAACATAATTCCTACTCAAATTTTCTTAATTCCCTTTACAGCTGTCCTCCTAACCACCAACCCAGAATCCAAGCGAGAGCCACCTATCAGGTCTCTAGCTATCCTTAAAACTGGAATAGTTTTGCAGCGTTTTCTCCTTTCATTTCAGCATTTTATGACAATGGAAGCTATTTGTTTGGCACAATGGCTCTCAATTTGAACTTGCTGGTTATTTCCTTATGATGATTCAGATTCTGGTTGAATATTTTGGGCAGGAATACAACACAGGTGATGCAACTGATTCCTTAAAAAATGGTATCTGTATAAAATGACCCTTAGGATCTTGCTCTTTGACTTCAAGGTATTCTTGGGCCCATAAAAAGTGTAAAGATGGAGACCATGCAATGTAATGCAGCTCAGTTTCAGTTGTTGGGCTTGTACTTAACATTCAAGAGATCCTATAGCCAATCCCCAGCATGCACAAGTGCAAAAGCACGCATGCACGCACGCACACACACACGATGCATTCTCCATCCCTCCAATTGACTTTTATTAGATGGGCCAGGGAGTTAGAGTAAAACAAATCCCCCATTTACCTTTTTTCTCAATTTCCCTCTGATGTGACATAACCTCTTCACACCATCAAAACACATCGCTTCTAATCGTCCATTTCCCAACATCTTGATTACCTGAGCATATTCTAGAGGGAGAAAAGGAATATGGGATATTGCTCATTTTTATAAAAGCAACCTAAAGCCACGTAAAAATTGACAAGACCACATGATTGTATTGGCTAGGAATACATGCAGCCAATGTACAAACAAATACAATAGAATTAAACACCAAGCTACTAATGACAGAAGAACCAAGACTTTGTTTTGGTTTTTTTTTTTGGCGGAACCGGGGATTGAACTCAGGCCCTTGCGTTTGCCAGGGAAGCGCTTATTCCACTGAGCCATCTACCCCCCCACCTTTTTGGCGGATAAAGTTGGTTTTCATTTTTTTGCGGAACTGGGAATTGAACTCAGGCCCTTGTGCTTGCCAGGCAAGTGCTTATTCTACTGAGCCATCTCCCCAGCCCCTGAACCAAGACTTAGTAATGCTGTTTGTGTTGCAAACAGTCTCCACTATTAGACATGTTATAATGATCTAATAATTTTAAATACTGTCCTCATGATGGTATTCCTACCCTAGAGATCAAAGGTGGCTTGTCCCAAAATATAATTTTGGCTCATCAGTCTCCCCAATTCTAATCTTTGTTCAATTTTGTTTTCCTTCAGAATATCTAGAAATAAATCTCATGAAATTTTTAGTACAAGGAGCTAAATTTTAATAATGTCTTTGTTAATTTCACTGCAAATGGAAAATACCAGGAAGGTGCCTATGGGTGGTAGTGGCACTCAGGGGGCACATCAGGTTCATCACTTCAGATTCTTTAGGTATTTCATAAGACTGTTGCAAAATGGCTATCCACTAACTCATAAACAAATTCAACTGTGGTGTTGGCATGCAGATGCTTCATCCACTGAGGCAGGCTCTCCTTGTAGAGAAAAAAATATGACGACAGAAAAAGCACTGTGTACCAATTAACTCAACTCCTAATGGAGGTAAGAATGACTAGGGGAAAAAGGGATCTTTTAGCCAGAGAATATATTTCATTTTTAGCAGTTTGTATGTACAGCATGAATATATCCACCAAAAGTTCTACAGAATGATAAAGCTGAGGCTGGCTTGATAGCTCAACAGACTAAAGCACCTGCTTAGGCAGAGTGCAGAGGCCGGAGTTTGATGCCTGGCCTGCCCCAGTTCAGACTCCACCCCCAGGGCACGCTGAGATGGGACTGAGACTGGGTGTGGTGGTGAGTGAGGGAATGCCTGTAACCCAGCACTTGGGAAGCTATAAACAGGAGAATCATTACGAGTCCGGTCTACATAGTGAGATCCTGTAGACCCTGCTCTAAAATATAGAAAAAAAAATTTTAAAAAAGAAAGAAAGCTGAGAACAGTGCTGTATGCCTGTAAACCCGGTTACTCAAGAAAGTGAGGCAAGAAGATAAGTTCTAGGGCAGCCTAGCTAGAGAACCTGGTGAGAACTTGTCTTAAAAAACAAACCAGGGGGCTGGGGAGATGGCTCAGTAGAATAAATGCTTCCCTGGCAAGCACAAGAGCCTGAGTTCAATCCCTGGTTCCACAAAAAAAAAAAAAAAAAAAAAAAAAAAAAAACAACTTAAGAATCACTCAACTATAGAAAAAAAAAAGCAAGTGGGGGTGGGCAGGTCTATAGCTCAGGGGCACCAATGCCTGCCTGGCAAGCACAACATCCTGAATTCTATTCCTAGTTACCTCCCCCACAAAAGAGTGAAAACAAACCACCCGGGATATAACTCAGAGCTTCCCAGGTTGAATCCCTAATACTGAAGGGAAAAAGAAAGAAAGACAAAAGGCTCTGTATTAAAGTGCTAGAGTTGCTGGGGAGATAGCTCGGCAGTCTAAGCACCTGCCTGGCAAGCACAAGGAGCCTGGTTCAATCCCTGGCACCACATGCCACGCCAGCCCTGCCCTGGGCATGCTGAGCTGGCCATGGAGACTAGGCGTGGCAGTACATGCCTGTAATCCCAGTGCTGGGGAGGCTGAAACAGGAGGATCACTAGGAGTCCAAGTTGCATAGCAAGACACTGTATCAAACAAATAAATAAAGCTTTTTTTTGTGGTACCGGGGATTGAACTCAGGACCTTGCACTTGCTAGGCAGGCACTTTCTTCTACTGAGGTATCTCCCCAGCCCTTAAATCTTAAAAAATATAGTGTTAGAGATTGGAAAACGTAAAATATAGACATTCTACTAGATAATATCATGGTAAATTACCTGATCATATGTGGGAATGTTTGCCCTTAGACGTGTGTGCGTGCGTGTGTGCATGTATGATAAAAGCTTTAGGGGAGCCAACAGTAGCAAGACCCAACTTTTCTGTAGGCTTAAAAATCACTCAATTATAGAAAAAAAAAGCAAGTAATCTGGTCAGAATGTATTAGTGTTATGCCTCTTGGTCTTAACTAGTCTAAAAAAGATCAAATGTTCAGTTTTATTTTGTTGTATTTCATGAAATCATACCCCATGGGCAATGGAGAATGGAGAGGCCTTGGAGTCATTCTTCAAGCATCTAGTCTACAGAACATGCTACGGGGGCACTATTTAGTGTCAAAAAGGTTCACTAAATAATCAAATGTCAACCATAGCTTGTGAAGTTTAATTGCTTCTGAACTGTACAATTCATTCTTTGTTATAACACAAAAGTTCACACAAAACAAGGAAACCTGTATGGTTTACAGAAACTACATTAATTCTCAATACAGTCTTGGTAGGACCAAGAAGAAATGATTACTGAAGGAAAGGCTCTACAGAAGTGTAAGGAATGAGAAATGCAGAAAGGCACATGGGACATGAGATTAACAGCTCAAGATTATCAACACGATGCCTTTTAAATTTGGAGATTGACACATGGAGAGAAAACATTCTCAGGCTTTCACAGAGAGCAAATTGGTCAAGCAATGGCCGTGACTCATCCACATTGCTGACACTGACAAAGGATCTACAAAGTGTGGTACAGGGTTTCAGGATAAATCTTAAGGGGACTTGACTGACCTTATCAGATACAAAAGTTACATTTCTTGTCATATAGGTCTTGCTTTATCTTGGTCTTAACCATCCAGCAGAAAGGTAAAAAAAAAAAAAACGGGGTAAAAGGGGGGAAGCCATGTTGGTATGCTGGGCTGTAAAGGGCTCAAGTCAACAACTTCTGACATTGCCAGTCCTGCAGATGACCTACTACTATTATGGACTACTGGACTATATTGGAATATTTTGCTGAATTCACACACCTACAATATTTAAATGAAAATAGAATACCCTTCTCTGAAAACTAAACAAAAAGGGATACAAATGAATGACCATTTTGTATCTGTATGTACAAAATAGTTAGGATAGATACACAGCTACTTTCTCTTAATTCAATGAGAAAAAAGATTGTACTAAGTGTTTGTGGGCAGGATATCACGTCTGCATCTTTTACAATGAATAACCACTAAGAAGATAACAATATGCAATGAATTATTGAAACTCTCCTACTAATTGGTTTTGAAACTGTCTCACTGCTGTTTCTCAATAACTTTATTAAAAGAATAAATTTGGAGACTGAATTCCGTATCTAAAAAAAAGTATCCAGCTCTTACCTTGCCCATCCTCTTTGAACACCAATTCTCTTTTTTCAGATTCATTCTCATTCTTACCTCTGCGTCTGTTTTTACCTCCTTTACCTAATGTTTTTTTAAGAGAAAAGAAGGACATCAAATACATGCAAAACAGTAAAAAGAAACTACATTAAGGCTTATAAAAGTACCGTTCAAAATTACTTAAATTTAAAAATTCAACTAATTTAGTCAATTCTCTTAAATTTACAATCATATCATATTAAAAGTTAATATTAATATATCACTCTCACCACTGCATGGAATTTCCTTTTGGAATTTTTCTGAGACAAAATACAAATAGCATATGTTATATAAAAGTACAGCACATTAAAAAAAAAATTATGGGGCTGGGGAGATGACTCAGCCTGAGTTCAATCCTCGGTTCCACAAAAAAAGAAAAAAGAAAACAAAAGAAAAAAATATACCTTAGCATATCTTTTAAAAAAAAACCTAATTACATACACTATGTGATTAAAAATACCATGATTATTTACATTTAAAAAAATTCTGTGCCGTAACTCCCCCAACTGGGCATGATAGGGCACGCCTATAATCCCAGTGCTTGGGAGGCTGAAAACAGGAGAATCACTATGAGTCTAAGTCTGATCTACAAGTCTGAGTGTGATCTATGTAGCAAGATCCTATACTAAATACATAAAAATAGAATACTTGCCCCAAACCTACTTTGGTCCCTCGCTACAAACACACTCATTATCATTCTTTTTGCCACTTTGTAAAGCTCCTCATGAAAGAGGGCTTCCAGAGTGGATTCAGAAGGTAGCAAGAATGATGGGATATTATGTATAAGTGAGGGGGAGTATTTTGAGGTGGATTCATGATATGTCTTTTACTGTAATAATTATTTCTTAATTAAATATTCATCATATATTTTGATCACATCCTGCAAACATTCTTCTAAACTGAAATTGTGGGATGCTTTCTGGGATGCTTTCCAGACTAAGCAAAGTACCTGATGTTTCCAAATTGAAGTAAGGAGAATGGACAGAGAGCTGTGGTTCTTCAAACTTGGTATAAGAGAGCACTATACATGTTGAAATTTTCATTCAGAATACCAATTTACGCCGGGCATTGTGGTACACCCCTGTAATTCAGCACCGGGAGGATGACACAGAATCACCACCAAGTTTAAGGCCAGCCTAGGGCTGGGGATATAGCTCAGTAGCATAAGCACCTGGCTGGTAAGCCCAAGGTCCAAAGTTCATAGATAGTCTGAACGCTATAGTGACACCTTGTCTCAACAAACAAACCATCCTAACAATCTCAATTTACTTTCTTTTACTTGATTGTCATTTCTTTTTTTTAAAAATTTTATTTATTTATTTGTGTGTGTGTGTGTGTGTGTGTGTGTGGCCAGCTCAGCCCACCAGGGGGTGGGGCTGGCTGGCATGTGGTGCTGGGGGATTGAACTGCGGTCCCTGTGCTTTGCTAAGCTTGTTCTAAGTAGGTGCTTTAGACCACTGAGCCATCTCACCAGCCCTTAATTGTCATTTCTTTATTTTTTTGGTTTTGGTTTTTTTTGCGGAAGCAGGGATTGAACTCAGGCCCTTGTGCTTGTCAGGGAAGCGCTTATTCCACTGAGCCATCTCCCCAACCCCTATTTCTTTGCTTTATAGCTTAAAGAAATATTTTATTTATGAATTTGGTATAGGGTCTCACTACATAGGTCAGACTCATAGTGATCCTCCTGTCTTAGCATTTCCAGCACTGGGATTACAGGTGTGTACCACCATGCCCAGTCTCGGGGGGGGGGGGGTGTTCTGGGACCAGGGCGGCACGTGGTGGCAGGCATTGAACCCTGATCCCCGCGCTTGCCTAAGCAGGCACTTAATCCCCTGAGTTATCTCACCAGTCCTGACATCCTTGTTTCTGTTATATCATAAGTGACCCTCCTCTGAACTATTATGCTATCATGCCATCTACTTAGTTGTCATGACCACCATCCTATGAGAGGGTATTTATTCCCAAATTATCAGCAAGTTCACTGAAGCTCAGAGAAGTTAGATAAATCACTTAAAATTACAGCCACAGTGGGGACATCTAAACTTTCACCTTAATCCTTTACTGTCCCTAGTTCCTACATTAGATTACCTGTCCATAGCATTTATGATCTCATTCCACAACCAAAACACACCAGGTCTTGATGAATTTCATAAAACTGTCATGGAACAAACACATGTGACTTTGCAATGGTCGAATAATTCTGACAACCCCAAGAGTTTTGAGTTTTATTATTATAAAGTGTGGCATACACTGGATACTTGAAGTTATAAAGTACAGTCCTAACTGCCCCAACTTGAAAGCAACTAAGACATCCTTCAGTAGGTGAAGGGATGAACTTGAATGGCTACACAATGGAATGTTATTCAATGATAAAAAGAAACAAGCTATTAAGCCTTGAAAAGACACTGCTAAGTGCAAGAAGCCATTCTGTATAGGCTACATCCTGTATGACTGTATATAACATTCTGATAGTACAACAGCAGTTAATAGACCTGCTATCCAGTCCACTTTTGAACAAAACTCAATTTACCACCCAAGTATGGTGTTACACTCCTGTGATCTCAGGACTTGAGAGGCTGAGGTAGGAGGATCATAACCTCACTATCTATGTGAATATAAAAAGTAAAGCCATATTAATATGCTGAGTTGTAAAAGGCTCAAGTCAACAACTTCAGACATTGCCAGTCTTATGGAAAACCCACTACTATTATGGACTACTAGACTATATTGGATTATTTTGCTAATTCACACACCTGCAATATTTAAATGACAATGGAATACGCTTGTCTGACAAAACTAAACAAAAAAGGGGGATACAAATGAAGGACCAATTTGTATGTGTATATTCAAAATAGGATAGATATAAAGCTACTTTCTCAATTCAATGAACAGAAAGATTTGTTCTAATAGTGTTTGTGGACAGGCTATCATGTCTGTATCTTGTACTATGAATAACAACTAAGAAGACAATAATATGCAATGTATTAATTTTTTTTTTTTTGGTGGAACCAGGGATTGAACTCAGGCCCTTGTGCTTGCCAGACAAGTGCTTATTCTACTGAGCCATCTTCCTGGCCCCTGCAATGTATTAATTATTGAAACTCTCTTACTAATCGGTTTTGAAACTATCTGCTATCTGTTTCTCAATAAAATTATTTTTTTAAAAAAAGGAGGATCACTGCAAGATTAAGGCCAGCCTGGACTACAAAGTGAGCTCAAAGTCAGCCTAAACTACACAGAAGAACCCGTCTCAAAAAAATAAATAAAGGGGCTGGGGAAATGGCTCAGTAGAATAAGCGCTTGCCTGGCAAGCACAAGGGTCTGATTTCAAGCCCCAGTTCCGCCCCGCCCAAAATTAAATAAATAAATAAATAAATAAATAGAATTGTAAGCAGGGCTGATCAGATTCACACCCATCCTTTTTTGTTCTTTACCCTGGTATTAGGGTACTTCTCCCCAGTGTTGTTTCTACTCCACAATCTGAACCACACTAGCAGTCACTTCCAAAATTTGGGTAAAAGGTTCTATGTGGTAGTGACACCAAGGAACATAGGTGAAGAGCTTGGAAGCAGCAAAAATCAACAACTCAGAACATTCACCTAGCCATTGCAAAGACAGACATCTAAATTTGTTTTCATGGTGCTGGAGATTGAACCCAGGATCCGGAACATGCTAGGAAAGCACTCCCCAATTCCAGACATCTAAAAATTCTTGTATTGGTACACTTACTCCCTTCCTGGGGCAGTCTCACATTCTTGTGTGCTACTCTGAGGTGGGCCTCTACAGCTCCCTGATCCACTCCAACCCTTAGAATTCCTTATTTATTTCTCTTTTTAAGACAGGATTTCACTATGCAGGTCAGGATGGCCTTGAACTCACTTTGTAGCCCAGGCTGGTCTCAAACTCACAGTGATCCTCCTCCTGCCTCAGCCTCAATGAGAGTATTGGGATTAAGGCTGTGCCTCCATACCCGGCCAAAACTGATTTCTTAAGAGAAAAGAACTTCAAGCCATTATGAATGACAGATCTTCAAACTAAAGTACAAGCTGCACTAGGGCCAGGATCATACCTGATCTGTTCCATGAATTACAAGCCAGTTTGGCAAGTGTAATGGTTGATGCACTGTCAACTTGGGAAGTTTAGAAGCTTAACTAAGCTACTCAGCACAAGGATAGGGTCCTTACTTTGTAAACATCGTTATCCTGTGCAAGAGGACAGGAAGATGGTGTGGGTATAAGGACCCATCCAAGGGCCTATAGCCTGCTTACACTATGAGGAAGGAAAAGAGACTTACGCCCCCCAACCCCTTGCTCTTACTGTTTTTGCTGTCTTCTGCCACCCTGAACTTTTGTTGCCCAAGTGCCATGCGCCACCCTGCCTTGGAGCCAGGTGATCACAGCCTGAAACCTCCACAAACTGAGCTAAATACACCTTTCCTTTCTTATTTTTGGATGTCAGGTATTTTGTCTCAAGAATGAGAAAGGTAACTAAGACAGTAAGTCTTCTAATGAACCAATCAAGAGTAATCCATACATCCTGGAAGAGTAGTGATCTTAAAATCTTCGTAGTACCATTTCAAGGAGGAGATGCACCTCACCCTAAATGCTTTGTTATGGTTTGTATCTAGATGTCCCCCCCCCAAGCTTGCCTCATGCAGTCATGGGACAGGTATCTGGAGTTTGTGACTGATTCATGGTCTAATGCTAGGAATAAAGGTCTAAGTGCTACACTCCCCTGGGGTAGATAGCCTGCGTACAATATAAGGAAGCTAAAGAGGCTTGCCCTATGCTGCTCCTCCCTTTTTGCTTTTGCTGCTTTTGATGTCCTCTGCCATGTGTTACTCTGTCTAGGAGCTAGCCGAGTACAGACTGAAGCCTCCAAACTGTGAACTTATAAATAAACCGTTCCCTCTTTAATTTGGACATTGGCTATTTTGCCTCAGCAATGAGAGAAAAGTAACCAACATACTCTTCATGAGTGAGCCAAAGGATGCTCTTTTTCCTTATCAGAGGATGACTTTTTAAGAATTTCTAGAGGAAATGAACTGGTAAGAATGAATTCAAAAGCCATGCAACATATAGTCCATGGCAATTTTTGCCCATACTTGGGTTCACCACCACAAGATTATACTAACAAGGGCTTCTGAACTTTCCAATGAGTATAGGAAAATAAGTATGAGTTTAACTCTGTATACTAAACTTCATAAAATTAAAAAATCTTGAAAAGTACCCTTCTTCTAACCAAGACAATAGTCCCTAAACTAAATTGAAACTCCCAGACTCCCTTTTAAAATCGAAGAGGTATTTTGGAGAAATTTCCAGGTGGAATTTTCCTTGAGCAAGACACGAGCGTAATGAGCTAGATGTAATTTAAGGCATAAGTCATGTCCTCTTGCAACCAAAGGGGAACCTATTATTCACCTAAAGATGGCATCAACAACAGAAGGAAGATGATTTAGTCTAACAAATATTTATTGAGCATCTCCTAAATTTCAAGTGCTAGCAATCCAATGTGATTAAGGCAGATGCTAGCTTCCTGTCCTTCAACCAGGCCTGGTGGCGGTACACCCAGAAACTCAGCACTGAGGAGACTGAGGCAGGAGGACTGCCATTAGTTCAAGGCCAGCCCCGAAACCACATAGAGGGACCCTGTCTCAATTTTTAAAAGGGCTGATGAAATAGCTCAGCAGACTAAGTGCCTGCTTAGGCAAGCACAGGGACGAGGTTCGATCCCTCATACCGCCTGCTGTGCTGGCCCCGTCCCTGGGCACTGAGCTGGCCACCAAGTCTGGGCACGGTGGTGCACACCTGTAATCCCAGCACTGGGGAGGGTGAACACAGGAGAATCACTATGAGTCTGAGCTGCATAGTGAGACCCTTTACCAAATACATACATTTGAAAAAAAATTAAGAGTTTACAGCACAGTGAGGGAAATGAAAATTTTCTATCAGTGGTGAGAATAAAATTTCTATTAATGTAATCCAATTTACCACTTCAAAATAAATGATTTTACAGATTAAAAGAAAAGTTGTAAGAGTTTAGTGTATGCTATGCTGTCACACCATCTTTTCTATAATAATTAGTAAAACTTCTTGCTACAAAAAAAGACCTTCAAGTTTGATTTCTGAGGGCAGCATGGTGGAACAGCCTTTGAGGACTGTACCAAGTCTTGCACACAACTGTGATGGCAGTATACTAAAAGATGTGACTGAGGTTGGGGAGATGGCTCAGTAGAATCAGTGCTTCCCTGGCAAGCGCAAGGGCCTGAGTTCAATCCCCGGTTCCGCCACAAAAAAAAAATAAAATAAAAGATGTGACTGATGACATCTACAAAGAAAAAACGAGGAAGAATCCCTGGCCAATCAAATATTTTTTTTTTTTTTTTTTTGCGGAACCGGGGATTGAACTTAGATCCTTGCGCTTGCCAGGGACGCGCTTATTCCACTGAGCCATCTCCCCGGCCCTCAATCAAATATTAAGTAGATTTCACAAGCTAGCCTGAGTCAGGGAAGAAGGTCCTAAAGATGAGCAATCAAAGGAAACTTTTAATATGCTCCTCCTCGCCTGTCGAAAATACAGTTTTCTACTGACAAAACTTTCTGCAGTAAACTCTAAGGATGTTAGAATTAACAGAAATACGGTAAGTCTATAAAAAGGAGAATTTCCTTAGGAGTGTTTTGCTTTAACTTTGACGAAGTCTTCTATCCTGGAAATCCCCACTAAACTTATCCTAAAGTCCGACAATTTGGGTATGTTTAGTAGAGTTTTTTAAATTTCCCTCATGGATACATGATCTGAAGCAAAAGTAGCAAACTTAGTTACTATAAATCAAGTCTAGGAAAAAGTTGTGTAAGGAAATGTGGCAAAGAAAGTCCCTAGACTTTGAAATTCTCAGATGTTTAAAGAAAAAAAAAGTCAGAGCGTATTGTCCAATGTTTAAGACAGCAAGGAACAGCCTCAACAATACTGAACACTGGATAAAGCAGCCTCTCCGTGCCGGAGTACCAGATGGGCTCGAAAGAGGACATAACCATTTCAAAGTTTAGAACTGCTCCCGGGGATAAAAACCCCCAAACCCGGTAAAACCAAAGGAACACATGTGCGATGCCCAGGAGGTCCACTGGCGGTGTGCCTACAGGTCTCTAACACGCCACCCTTGCGTGGCGCGAATCGGGCAAAAGCCCACATTCTCCCATAAGAGGCCCCACAAAAATGGCGTCGGCTCCACCCCAATGTGATCAAACTGGGCAACACCAGTAACTTCCCCTCCTCTCTGAAGCTCAGAGTCGCATGCAGCCCGCCCAGTCACAGGCAGGCAGGCCAGGAAGGCAAGGTCACCGAGGCCTGGGTTAGTCCGGGGCTCGCGGACAGGCCCGGGAAACGGAGCCGAGCCTAGCCAGGGTCCGGGTCCAGGCGGCATTACCTTTATTCTTGGGCATGGTGGTAAAGACGATCAAGCGGCTTCTCTGATGTCCAGGGGTTCTGCGGCGCCGGCGACTCCTCCGAGGGGCGCGACGGGTGCGGCGAAGGACCGCGTGGGACTAGGCTGGCGCTGGAGGCCGAGCTGCGTGCGCGGGAGAGTAGCGATCAGGTTCTGCCGCGATCCGCTTGCACCCACGCTCAGCAGCAGCAAATGGCGTCGAGGCTGCTAGCGTAGCTTTTCCCCGCCTCCCGCTGCCGGTGAGGCCCAGCCTCTCCCCTCCTCCCCCGCCCTGTCACCACCGCCCCCTCCCCGCCCTGGCTGCACCGCGCAGGCGTGGCCGACTGACCCTTATTGTTAGAGCCCAGGGAGACGCTTTCTCGGAGAATTGGCGGCTGCCAAAGAGAGCGCAGCGGGAGGGGCACAGAGAGAATGGGCAGGCCCCACGTCCCAGTAAGGGGCGGCCCGAAGTAGAGTCGGCTGCCCATTGGCCTTCCCCTCCTTACTTTGTAACAAACCGGCTTCTGGAGCTTTGACAAGTTGCTGACTCATTAACCTCTTAGTTTTAACGTGGCTCTTGGACCGGCCTAGCCAGTTTAGGAAACTTATGGAAACGGGAAGGTTTTCCTGTCATCCATTACTAAAGTACATTTCTGTAACACTTGTTACTACTTTTTAAGTATCTTGGTTATCTCACTGCAAACCTTACCAGACAGAGACCACGTCTCATTATCAGCACTTAACAGTGTCTGGTTTCACAAGCTGATGCTCAGTACCCCCAGGCACAAAGAAAGGGAGCTGGAAAAGACGACTTACACATGGAATTAGGGACCCCAATGTGCCCTTCCAAAATGCATATATTACATTAGAACCCCCAGTACCTCAGCATATGACTATTTGGACATACGATTTTAAAAGACGTGATTGCACTGAAATGAGGTGATTAGGCTGTACCTAATCCAATCCCTTAGAAGAAAAAAGATACTAAACCAGGCATCCTGGCTCCTGCCTCTAATCCAGCATTTGGGAGGCTGAGGCATTAAAATGTCACAAAGTTGAGACCAGCCTGGGCTACATACTGAGTTGAAGGGCAACCTCAGCTGCATAGCCAGACCCTGTCTGAAAAAATCCCAAAATTCAGACAGTCCATTATGGTTTGTGTTTATTTGTCCCCCCAAAGCCTCATGCTGTCATGGGGCAAACTTCTAGAGTCTGTGATTAGCTCATGATCCACTGGGATTATGGTGTGAGTGCTGCTGGGATTATGGGTGTGAGTGCTGCTGGGATTATGGATGTGAGGACTACACCTGGCCTGTATAGCCTGAGTGTAACAAAGGGAGACAGACTTGCTCTCTGTTGCTATTGTTGCTGTTACTCCACCCTTTTGCTCTTGCTGTCTTGCTGACTTCCGCCACCGCCATGAACTGCTGCGTGTGTACATAGTTAGATGACAGAGAAATAAAGTATAGTTGTAAGGACAGAAGTCTGTGGGTGAAAAAAATAGAATAGGGGCCTCATTAGGTCTTAGCTAATCCTGACTAGAAGGAGTTGGGCTGGGAATATATCTCAGTGGCACAGTACCTGCCTGACAAGTGTGAGGTTCTGAGTTCAGCTCCCAGTTGTTATGGTTTGTGTCTAGTTGTTGCCCCCTCCCCCAAGCCTCATGCAGTCATTGGGCGGGGACTTCTAGAGTTTGAGATTAAATCATGATTCATTGGGATTATGGGTGATTCAAGACTGGGATTATGGGTGTGAGTACTTCCCCCAGCCTGGTGCGATAACCTCGATGCAATTTAAGGGAGAGAGACTTCCTCTCTGTTGCCATTTTTTCTGTTTCCACCTCCACAAACTTCTGCTCTCTGCCATGTGCCAGCTTGCCTTGGAGCAAATTGAGTACGGACTGAAGCCTCCAGTAACTGTGAGCTAAATCAACCTTTCCTTTCCTTCATTTTGAGTGTTGGGTATTTGTCCCAGCAATGAGAAAAGAGTAACTGAGAGAAAATTTGGTATTTCAGGAGTGCGGTCGTGGCTGTGGCTAAATCTGACCATGTGGATTACAGACTGTTGGAAATGGTTTATGGGACGAGATAGGAAAGGTTTGGAGAGGTTGCCTACTTGTGAAGAGCTGGAGCAGCTTCGGCTCTTCTGTAGGGGAGACTGGTCAGAGCTCAGAAGACCAGAAGGCTGATAGAAAACCTACCTGTAAAGATCATTTGTGTTTTGACTTGGCAAAAAATTTGTCTGCATTTTGCTCGTGTCCAGAGACTTTGCCTGAGACTAAGTATGGTGGACTAATTAATCTTTTAAAAGATACTTCAAAGCAGCCACATATTGGGGCGGTGGCATGGTTGTTATTGGAAGTGTTTAGCCAGGTTTATGTTGAAAATCAAGAACAAAAGGGCTCGGGTGATAGCTCAGTGGCCTAAGCGCCTGCCTGGCAAGTGCAAGGTCCTGAGTTTGAGCCCAGGTAACCCTCCCAAAAGAAAAAAAAAACCATGTAAATGTTTCTCTTTAGGGGTGGGGAGATAACTCAGTAGAATAAGCACTTGCCTTGCAAGCACAGGATCCTCAGTTCAATCTCCGGCACTGTGAAAAAAAAGAAAATCAAGAGCAAAGAGTCAAGCAGGATGATTTAAAATGTTGTGAGCTTGGCCAGAAAGGAAGCACCAGGAAAGCTATGGACTGCAAAGATGGAGCAGAAAGGATCTCCTTTGCTGGGAAGGAACCAGAGAATCCAAAGGATAGCCTGAGGGCATCACAGGAAGCTGCAGGTCTGCATCCTCTGCAGCCTCAGAGTTGCCAAGGTCTGGGAATCCGCCTTGGGGAAAAAGCCCTGGAGCTCCATGTTCCAGAGTGGCGGCAGCGGCCTCACCAGGTTCCAGAATGGCACCTGCACAGAGAATTTGTTCCTTGGAATGAGGGTCAGAGTACTCAGATCCAGGCACTCGACCCCTACAGCCAAAAGAGAGGAAAGGCTGGCTACTGCTCCAGCTGGCAGCAGACCTTGGCGTCATCCATGTGGCTCTGGTTTTAGGCACCTGCAGAATGCAAGAGCTGGGCCCAGGGAGATGGCTCAGTGCAATATGTGCTTCCCTGGCAAGTGCAAGTTCTGAGTTCAATCCCCAGTTCTGCCAAAAAAGAAAAAAGAATGCAAGAGCTCTGAGGTTAAAATGGTTTCCACTTAGATTTCAGAAGGCCTGGGAGGCCAGGTGGTGTTCCCCTGGGAGGGCAGTGTGTAAGACTATGAGTGAGAAGCTTATTCAGTGGAAACCCCAGAAGTTTGGAAAAGCCAGGATTGTGGATCGTCTAAGGGAAACTGCAAGGAGGAAGCAAAGCTGGCCTAAGAGAGACGCCACCACGAGTGCTGTAGGGGCGGAGCCACATGGAGCTCATAACTCAGCGCCGACTGCTTCGGATGTTCCAGTTGGAACTATGGGATTTAATGTTTGCCCTGCCGGATTTTGGACTCGTTTTGGTCCCAATGGTTTGTATCCTCCTGTATATACCTTTTGGAATGGTAATGTTTATCTTGTGCCTTTGAATGTTGGATGTGTTTAACTTTTCTTTTGTAGAGGCTCATAGATAAGAGTTTGCCTTGGATCTTGGAGTCTTGGGACTTGGACTTTTCAGCAATGCTGAAACTGTTGTGACTTCGGCAACTCTTAGAGATGGACTAGAATGACTTTTTTTTTTTAGAATGGCTTTTTGCCTAAAGGGATGTGCATGAGACTTTGGGGGTCCAGGGGCAGGATGTTATGGTTTGTGTCTAGTTGTCCCACCAAAGCCTCATGCATTCCTGGGACGGGGACTTCTTCAGTTGAAATTAACTCATGATCCACTGGGATTATGGTTGCTTCAAGGCTGGGATTATGGGTTTTAGTACTGCTGGGATTATGAGTGTGAGTACTTCCCCCAGCCTGGTACGATAGCCTGGATGCAATTTAAGGGAAAGAGAGACTGCCTCTCTGTTGCCATTTTTGCTGTTTCTACCACCACGAACTGCTGCTCTCTGCCATGTGCCAGCCTGCCTTGGAGCAAGCTGAGTATGGACTGAAACCTCCAGTAACTGTGAGCTAAATCAACCTTTCCTTTCCTTCATTTTGAGTGTTGGGTATTTCTTCCAGCAATAAGAGAGTAACTGAGACACTGGTACAAAAAAAAGAGTTAAAACACATTTTACTAGAGAAATTCCCCTGAGAAGCAGTCAAGGATGGGAATAGGGAAAGAGAAAAACTAGACAAAAAAATGCAACAAATGACCTTCAACTTGCACGAAGAGTCCAGAAAAAGAGATGACAGGCAGGACATGGAGAGAAAGTCAAGTACTCCCGTTCCCATCTAGCCGTGCATTCCAAAGATAAGGCCTTAAGGGGTAGGACAGGGACAAGTAGATAGAAAGAAGTTACATGTAGACAAACTGAAGAAATGACAGTAGGCAGAAGTGTGTGGAAGCCAAAGCAGCTGTGGCAAGTTCTGGGGAGGATCTCTGGCTCCCCCCTTAAAAGCAGCTGGGGGGCTGGCCAGATAGCTCAGCAGACTAAAGTGCCTGCTTAGGCAGAGCACAGTGGCCTGGGTTCAATCCCCAGCATGCCGTGCCGGCTCCGCCCCAGGGGAGCTCTGAGATAGTGACTCAGACTGGGCGTGGTGGTGTGCACCTGTAATCCCAGCACTTGGGAGGCTGAAAACAGGAGAATCACTGTAAATCCAATCTGTGTAGTGAGACCCTGTAGACCCTGTACTAAATACATAAAAAAGTAGCTGGGAATAAAGGGTCCATAGGTCTTCCATTTTTCCAGATCTTCCTACTGTGATTCTTCCTTTCCAGGGTAGTTATCTATCTTCTCCTTTTTTCCTCTTTACAAATAAAGTGTCTTCCTTTTGTTAAACTTTGTCCCCCTACTTTTTAAAAAAAATTTTTTTAAAAAAATTATTTATTTATGTGTGTGTGTGTGTGTGTGTGTGTGGCCAGCTCAGCCCACCAGGGGGCGGGGCTGGCTGGCATGTGGTGCTGGGGATTGACCCGCGGTCCCTGGGCTTTGCTAAGCTTGCTCTAAGTAGGTGCTTTAGACCACTGAGCCATCTCACCAGCCCCTGTCCCTCTACTTTTTATGGGGGCTGAGTTTACAATCCCAGTGGGCTGCTCAGGCAACAGAACAGCAGTGCTCATCCCTCGATGCAACATAGTCATCTAACACAGTAGTTCTCTACTGGGGGCACTGGCCTGTGTTTGGAGATATTTCTGATAGTCACA